TCGTATCGACCTTATCTTTGACTTCTGATGTGATAGAGATTTTTGTTGAACATAGAGGTAAGCTTATTATTAGAAACTATAAATTTGTTGCGTGTAACATCATAGTCTTTGAGTAATAATGAACATTAAACAAATGAATCAGATGAGGTAAGCTTTACAAAAATTAATTGGAAACTATAAATTTGTTGCGTGTAACATCATAGATTTTGATTAATAATGAACATTGAACAAATGAATCAGATCTAGGTATCTTAAGGCCTTAACTTTTAATTGAATTAATTTAAAATATTTATAAGGTCCCAAAATAATCAATTAGAACATGACGTGCCGTCCAATTTGATTCAATTGACTTATAATTTACTCAAACTGGAAAGTAATTACAACCAGAAAGAAATTTTCTTGAATCTCGAGTCCCAGTTTCTCAGTCACAGAATGGGGTTATTCGGTGCCAGTGCAGGTGGAAATGGCGGCATATGGGGCATGGGGCCGTTTCATAACAACATTCACAAGAGGAGCGACGGAACGAGGAACAGAACCAACGGAAATTCGAAATCCTCTAGCTCAGTCGACGCCACAGGAGGCGCCGCCGGTTACCGGTTTCCCCTCAAGCAAGCCGCCACCGCTGCCTCCCTCGCCCTCACTGGTGACACTATCGCCCAAGTCCGCCACTGCTGGGTCAGAAACAAAGATACCGTTGCCCATTATCGTGATTTCAAGGTCAGTTTGTACGTATTTATGTGCTTATTTTCGTGAACTCATCTGGGATTCTGGAACTCTAGTGTCTTGTGAAGTTCATCTCTGGTTGCTAAAATCAGCTAAGTAATTCACTGTTGGTATATATTTCTTGCTGTAGTTTACACAAGTATGCTGAATATTTTTGCTAGCATTGCTGAAGATTTTAGGGCATTTACCAATCTCTTTACTTGTCTTCTGTTGGGCCGTGGAAAAATGAACAATGTGATTTTCGAAAGATACAGAATTTATGTCCAATGCGTGTAATCTATGAAAATGAGATTGTGGAAAAATACTGTCGAGTATGCAAATTTATTTATCACAGCCCATTGATATAGATTAGAATTTTTTAGAGCTTCTCAGATATCATCTTGGTGTTGAATGGGATGACGGAAATGGATCCTAAATTTGATGTCTTGTTGGTCCATATGAAAATTTCTGTTGTATAATTTGAACTCTTCAAGATTTAAGGCACTTTTAGTTGAAGGGCCGGAAGTTCACTGTGGGGTGTGGGCTGCTTTGATATGATGGTAAGATTCTATTAAAATAAGTAATTTGATCTGGAGCAAGATGGACTTCTGATTTTAATAAATGAATCAGTTTTAACTTAGGATCTGCGAGCGAAAGGCTAATTTGTAATCAGTAACTCATACTGTGTCTCTTTAGGTTTTTATGATTTTATCTCATGCTATTTCCAAATAGCTAAGGTGATTTCTGAACTCCTTAATGATAGACTGCATCAGCCCATGGCAGGATGGCACTATAGGCTTTAAATAAAATGTTTGTCAAGCTCATTTAAATGCCCAATTATCAAGATTCTGCTTTACCTTGGATGTTCATAGTTAAAGGAAGTTGAAAGATCTTGTATAATTTTCGTTCACATACATTGATAAGGAACTGTCAACTGTGAATTGCTATTAGGCAGTTGAAAGGACTTTCATCTTTTCTATTTATATACGTTGATAAGGAACTGTGAATTGCTATATGCTTATGAATGTGATGATAAAAATGAACAATGCTACAACATTAGATAAAACAAGAGAATAATTTTGGACATAAGAACCCTGAGGAGTAGCTCAGTGGTCAGGCCTTGGGTTTGCTCCCCAATGGTCACTAGTTTAAGTCTGCTCAGGGTCACTGAGGTTATCCGGCTGTAAACTTCAGCTCCCTGTGAGATTAGTCGAGGTGCGCATAAGTTGGCTCGAATACCCATGGTTATCAAAAATAAATAAATTTTGGACATGAGAGGAAATGAGAGGAGTTGAGAAGAAATTAAAATGCTCCCTATTGTTTGGTTTCCAAATGAGCTCAGAAGCAAAATACAGTTGGATTATGATTTTCCTCTCAGACCATAAATATTTGGAATTAGAAGGTTGAAATATTGGAGAGAGATTCAATTTATTTCTACTTTCATTCAAAGCCAACTGAAGGAAAATAATCTGTCCATACATTTTCCCATTAATTTTCTGTTCCTCCACTTTCTTTGCGCTTCACTTCTCTCTACAAACTCATAACATCCACTAGTAAAGAATTTTAATATGGCATTGAAAGCTTTGTAAAGGATTTGATGCACGTTGATATAATTTGCAATGATTACACTGAGCAGATTCAGTAGAAGCTAAATCATTAGGCCCCAGATAACTCGGGATTTTGTTGGGTTTTACAGATAATTATCAATTTATTGAGAAAAATGAGTCAACAACATTTTGTTGACTTGGTTTCTGATAGAAAGTTTCACACGTGATCTATGTAGTTTGACTACACCAACATTAAATTAGATAGCCAAAGAATTTCCATAGAAATTGATGAAATGATTGTTTTCATCCTAGTCCATTCTTGTCCTAGATCCGGATCTCTACGATTAGTTTCCAAACTGTAGCAATTGTGAAAAGTGTTGAGGATTTATGATTGTAAGTTCATATTAGTTTTATAAATATTTCACGTTTAGGTGGGATTCTCTCCTTTCACCTTCACTTATCATAAGCAATGGCAAGACTTAACCTAAAAGATAAATAATTTCAGAGAGATGCTAGACTTTTAGTTTCATTCTCAATCATATATTATCTTGGTAACAAAGAGTGTAGGCCGCACCATCTAAATGTGCTTCTCACCACAGAAATTTGTTCATCGGTTAACTTATGCTTGATATATAGCCCTTGTTTGAGCCCCATTTTGGGAAGAAAAAAAAATGCATTTTGAATAATAGATTGATGAAAAATACGTGGTTAAAAATGAAGGAAAAGTTTTGGGTTTGCGTTTAATATTATTTTATTGAAGAATGTGTGGTTGAAAATAAGTTTTGAAAAAATGATTTTTTAGAAGAATTGGGATCAAACAAGGGTATACTCTGTATTCTTGAACAGGAAAACATAATGTGTGCGTGCATGTGCACAACTTCTACTTAGCTAAACGGTTAGGTAATATCATGCTAACGTAAGTTTGCAGAGACGGTGTCTGACATATCATCTAACACCATGTCATCCAACATCAACAAAAAATGAGTTTTCATCATTCTACAAAGATTATTAGGTAGTTTACTTCCTTTATACCCTGATAACTTTTAGCATACTCAATGAACACTGCATCAGCATGTACTTTCTTTTTTGGTTCATGCAAACCCTTATGGAAACATTTTCAAAGCATCAGTATCCAAGTTGTTCATTTCTTCTGTCATTCTCAAGATGAATTATTGACACGCACACCACATCTAAGATCTTGTTTATCTTTTCATGCTAGTTTTATAGAAAGGAACTTTCATAGTGGATGGCCTTAATTCATCGATCCTGTTGATTGACAGCTATTTAAAAATATTATTTCTGATCAAATTCTACATTAGGATATAATGGATGTTGTTTTGTCCGAGCATGACTGGATTAGAGCCCTCCGAATGACTTCATATGGTTTCCTATTATATGGCCCTGGTTCCTATGCATGGTATCAGTTCCTTGATCATAGCATGCCAAAGCAAACTGTTGAGAACTTATTGATGAAGGTAGGTTAGCTCTGAGCTTTGAGCGTTGACTGTACTAAGGATCTTACAGACAACATTGAACAAATTTTTGGTTTTCCTGCTTGCAGGTTTTGTTAAACCAAATTGCACTAGGTCCAACTGTAATTGCAGTTGTTTTTGCATGGAACAATTTATGGCAAGGGAAACTTGCAGAGCTTCCCAATAAATACAAAAAAGATGCCCTCCCTACCCTATTGTTTGGTAAAATCCTTGTACTTCCTTCCATTCCGTATATTCATTTTATAGAAGTGTAATTGTTTTTGTTTTTAATTCTCATATCCATGCAGGATTTCGGTTCTGGATTCCTGTGAGCATATTGAATTTTTGGTATGTCACACTCTGTCCTTATTCCTCCCTGTCTTCTCTCCCCAGTCCGGCCACCCCCTTCCTCTCATCTAGCACTATCACAACCCTCACCACAACCACACTGAAGGGTGAAAAGAGATTCAAGTATTTGTTCACAAAGTACAAGTAAAATAATCTTGAAGCTTATCAATATTTAATAATCAAGCATCAACTTTTTGAAGCTCAGTGTATTCATTGTCCAGGGATGGTTCTTAGGGACCTCAAATACTAAGTCTCCTATAATCTAGTTAGTGTTATGACAAACCACGCTGCTTAAACAGAGAAAATTGACAAAGAACAGACCGTTAAAGCATAGACAAAATGTCATTTGTTCAAATGAACCTTTGACCACGGATGAAGATAATGAATCCACCAAAAAACATGAGATCACTAGGATTCTCATGCTCTCACACTTAAGTCCTGTTAGTTACAAGTAATATCACTCATAATCAACCTGCAATACACCCTGCCACCTTGTTGGGCCGAGCATTGTCCCTGCACCGCCATGGAGCTTCCTTCATTCGCCATGTCAGAAACTGAAGCTTTTCCCTAATTAAAAGTCGTACTAAACTTAAACGGGCTCGGCAGTATTCTGGCCCAACTAAAAGACATTTTACAGTTGGTATCTACCACATCGAAAAAATTTAAGAATTTAATTAGTAATAAAAAGATTTTTAGTATAATTAGCAAACAAATTCACGTTATGAGGTCACATTGCTTACGTGCTCTTTTCCTATTGCGTTCTTTGCTGATGAAACTGACATTTTGAAGTGTCCTATAATTATCTTGTCCATTTTATTTCACTGTTGTTTCTCTAAGCTTTGTTGTTCCCGAGTATTGTTATTGCCATCATATTATTAGCCGATTCTTTTTACATCTGAGATTTACAAATACTGTTTCAAGCACATTTGGGAAAATCTTCGTATTTTTCCTGGGCGAAAAGATTGCAAGAACTTGCAGTTGCTTGAAAACAAACATATCTATTACTTTTTCACCCATGGTTTCCAAGTTTGTTTGAGGACAATGCATCTTACGAACTTATGTGTAGTTCATGAAGAAAAGAACAATATTTTCTCTGCCCAGGAAATCTAAAGTAGTTGGTCGCTTCTAGGTATTTTTATGGACTTTATATCTCAAATTATCAACAAGGAAATATATACGCTTTCTTTCTTGCTATGTTACATGCATTCTTTTTCACCAACTCAAATCTATCAATAACAAAAATATGTCACTTTTCATGTTTTCCTTTGGTTTATCAGTTGTACCAGGAAATAGAAACTCTTTTCAAATGACATTCTATATTGATCTTCAGGATTGTCCCCCTTCAGGCCCGTGTTGCTTTCATGTCCATGGGCTCTATATTCTGGAACTTTTTCTTGTCTTCAACTCTGAGCAAGTGAATGCTGCAGAACTCATATCCATGGACGGCCATATGACAGTTTGAGTATCAAGTATCAGTCAAAACATCATTTTACTACTATGTTTTCTTTTAGATTTCAGTACTTTGGTGGATAGCGTTTATCAAGATAGCGCAGTTGGAAGCAATTTCTGAACATTCTCGGTATCTTTACATGGCATTTTAGTACAATCTGTGGATCGTCATTCGCAAAAATACCAGCTCATTATTTGACCTCTGCTGCTGCACAATAGATTGAATCTTTTACTTTCATCCCCCAACCCCATTGAGGAGTTGTACTATCACTTAAAGCCTGTACCTTCTTCATAATTTCAAACAATATGATGAACAGAGCACTGTGAGGTCATTCGGCATATGACAAAGTAGCAAAAGGAAGAGGAAGGAATGAAGTTTACAGAACGAGGATATCCATCTGATTAAGGAATGCTTGAGAAGCACTGCTGCTAGCAAAATAATTGTTTGAATTTTATCTAGAGGAAGAACATTCTTCCTGAGGAGGTTTAT